TATATGTATATATATGTGTATATATATATATATGTATGCATGTATATATATATATTCACACATATATATGTATATATATGTGTGTGTATATGTGTGTGTGTGTGTGTGTGTGTTCTGGTTACCTAGGGCCACTCTGACAAGAATATACCACAAATGGGATGGCCTTAACAAACAGGAGTTTTTCTCTTACAGTTTGGAGGCTTTAAGTCCAAGTTCAAAGTGCCAGGCTCTAGGGGCTGGGTGAAAGCTCCTCAAACCTGTGGGTCTAGCTCTGCCTCCTGCTCCCGGCCCACTGAAACTAGAGGTGTTTCTTCACTCAGAGAGCTGTTGGCCACTGAGGCTGACAAGCCCAAGGTTGACAAGTAAAAAGGCATGGTCCTTTCCGATGTTACCAAACCACACAGCAGGCCATTCATTCAAGTCCATTGAAAGTCCCAAGGTTGGCAGAGCACAGTAGGCTGCTGAAACCATGACATGGCTACATGCACGGTCCAAGCATGTCATAAACTGGAGACTATCCCCAAGGCTTCTCCTCATATACAGAAAGCAGACCACATCCCAAAGGCATCTACTCAGCTGGAGTTGATTGCCAGTCTCATCATGGAGAATAACTACCACCAGCTACCCAGCTACTCAACCAGGCCCAGCCAAGTTGACATACAAATTTAACTATGACAATTCCACCCCTTGTCACCTTGGCATCTGTACAGATCTCTCTCACTAGGTGGCTCCAGTCCCCTAGTTCCTCTAAATGGTGACCTCACCCCCTTGTCCTGGTGGGCCCTGTTCCTCTAAATCTTGGGCATGGCAGTCCTGCCCCCTCACTCTTGAGCAGCAGCTATGGCTCCATCCCACTAGCTCACATGAACGAGCAGCCCCACACTCCAGAACCAAGTTGGTGAAGGTCTAACTCTTTGAAACATAGGGGGTTATGGTGGTTCTACCCCCAAAGGACATGGTCCTACTGTTTGAGGCTGAGGCAGCTCTGCTTCCCATTTACTTAATCTCTCTGCTTCTGCCAATTAATGCCTGAGGGCAACCCACTCCGCTGGAAATCTTCCTGCCCCAAAGCACTCAGTTTTCTTGCTCCATGGGCTGGCCAACCTGCTACTTCATCTCGTTCAGGTTTCTTCTACCAATTAAATGCGTGAAGGCAACCCACTCTGCCAATAAGTTGTCTACCCAGTGGCACCCAGCTTTCTTCTCCATGGGCTGGTATGCCTGTTGCTGTTTGATGCCCATCTCTGGGCTTTGATACTGCTGTCTCTCATGCTGGTCTCTCTGCCAGTATCTCTCTGCCAGTCTCTTGGCTCTCCTCCTGCCACCTCTCATGCTGTATGCCAGGGTCTGTCTGCCAGAGTCTTGGGTCAAGGATGCATTCCACTCCTGTTTCCTGCTTGACAGATACATTTTAGGTATCTATCAAATCAGCACCCCTCTCTCTTGGTATCATAATCTGTTTTGGTTACCTAGTGCCACTCTGACAATATACCACAAATGGGATGGCCTAAACAAACAGGAGTTTATTCTCTTACAGTTTGGAGGCTTTAAGTCCAAGTTCAAAGTGCCAGGCTCTAGGGGCTGGGTGAAAGCCCCTCAGCCTT